ATCCAGCCGCTGCTGAATCTGACCAGCAGTGGCTGAATCAGGATGCCTGGGGCAGAACAGCTGGGGTGCTGCCCGGTTTGTCTGCAGACCAGGGGGACGGGGAGGGGGGGGCAAAGCAGAGCCAAGCCTCGGAGCGCGTGGGCAGCGGACAGCCCTGTCCGCTGCCCACGTGTTCCGCCGCTTTGCTTCCTCTCCCTGGTCTGCTGGAGACCAGGGAGAGGAAACCCGTTCGTAACTGCGGATCCGACATAAGTGCCTGTATAGCACCTCTGAGCTGGAGGGATCCCCAAATACTTTACTTTACTAACCCTAACGCTGGTCCTAGAACTTCAATTCAACGCAGACTGGCTAAAATCAATGAGAATTCAGCATGCAGAGCACTTGCTAGTTCATAAGTATTTCCAGTAGCCCTGTAGTGCATCCTTATTTGGAAAGAGGATGGTAGTCATGTGGCACACAACAGAGTAGAGAAGGGAAATTGTAACAATTGTTTGTGTACAATAGGATGGGTACAATCAGCAGGGCAGGCCTTAGGGAAAATGGTGCCCTGGGTGAACTTGTGTTTTGGGGTGCCTGTGGGCATGGCACTCACCCATTTCCCTTGGGGGCATGGTACCCCCCATTTACACTAGCACTTGTGGGAAGCCCCAGCCTGGGCACATTTAGGCACTTTGCCCCCACCTCTGCATAGTGCTGCCTTCACCCCAAACCCTAGCACTTCTCTCTTGGCAGCACCCCCAGCTCTAGCCCTGTACTGCTAATGTGCCCTGCCCAGTACTCCCCACTCCTTTCCATGCTTAGCAATCCCCATCCCCAGTAGCTCCTCACCCAGAGATCTCCACCAGTTACCTGAGCCCACTACCCTCCCCCCCAGATCCTTTTTCCCCTGACCCCCGCTGCCCTGCTCTCCTCTCTCATCCCCCTCTACAAATGCAAATTTTATTTGTCAATAGATGTGAGAGAACACCCTGAAACCTACCTTTCCCCCATTGTTGACAGGGACGGATATAGGGCAGGGCGAATGGGGCGGCCGCCCCGGGCCCCGCGCATGCGCCGTGGCGCCACCGCACTTGCGCATGGCGTTACTGCACATGCGCCGTGGCAAAGGGAGGGGCCCCGCGGAATTATGCTGCCCGGGGCCCCACAAAACGGTCATCTGCCCCTGATTGTTGACTCACATTGTCAACATTTCATGGCCACCTTGCTTTGCTCTATCTGTGGACAAGGTGCTAGCAATGTGGGTAAGCA